GTTTTCACCACCCATTACTGCTTTTTTACTTATTTATATTCCTCCTATTTGAAAGGTTTTCTGTAGGTTTTAGTGATGGTGGATAGTAAGGGAGGGCAAGTAGATGGTGGAAACTTTGGCTCAGCCTTCAGGATTTTGTCTTGGGACACTTTGCTGTCCCTCTGTTCAGTACCTTCTGAGTCTTGCTTTCTCTGCCTTCAGGGTGATGACTACAGAATTTAGTTTGATGAAGTTTTTCAATCCTCAATGAGAAAGGTCTTTAGGGGGTCTTGTCTTCTGTCCCCAGGTGACACAATACAGACTGTACTCTAGAATGTCTATAGACTCAGTTCTAGAGCTGAACCAGGTGGGGTCCATGAGAACTTTGTGGCTCTATTGGATAGATTCAACAGATACTTGCTGAACATCTACTATGGTCCAGGCACTGTGCTAAAAACTGGACAAATGAGATATAGTCCCTGAGCTCACAATGCTTATCATCTAGTTCAGGAAGTAGATATTATATACATAATCGCCAGAGGTATCACATAAATGGTGCTAAGTGCCACAGAGGGTGTGCATATTATTTTTTGGAAAGAAATGCCTTGCATGCAACAGGTCTTTGCAAAATAATGATTCTTTGCATGTGACTACGACAGTAGCCTATAAGTCCTTATTCCTGGCTTTTATTCTTATCCTGTGCATCTTACTTCTGTGGAACTGAAAAAAAAATGCTTCAATGTTTGGTTTTCAGTACAGTTAATATGACTAATCCCTAACATTTTTAGAATCATAAACAAGGAAAGAATTGCTCTTGCTGACACGTTCTCGTTTGATCACAAGGCTAGGATGTACCGCACCACCCAATTTTTGCCGATGGGGTGCTTTGTTCAGGGTGTGAGGTAGCTTATGTCCTTCAAAATTTTGAAGTTGTTAAAGTGGTAAAATAAGCAAAACCTTCCCACAAGCTGATTTCTGAGCCAGAAATTGAGCACTGCTTGAGGGTTTGTAGGGGGCTGTGGAGTCCATTCTCAGGGTTAGATCCTGGGATTTAGATCTCAGGGTTTATTACCTGGTCTGTGTTACTTACCCTTCAAAGCCTTATTTTTCCCATTTGTAAATAGATATGATAATAGTACTGCTCTCTTAGTGGTGTTGTGATGACTAAATGAAATTAGGCATGTAAAGCCCCTAGCACATGCTAAGTGGTCAACAAATGTTAAGTAACATTTGCTGTCATTGCTGTTATTACAAGACAAAACAGCAGAGAGCTCAACATAAAACTTTAGAAATGAGCAGTGCAAACATGGACATGTTTTTAAAAACGCACTGGGTTTCCTTATGTACGAAATGGGCTAAGAACTCTCATGGCTTGGGGTTTCTGTGAGGAGTAAATGAGAGAATGTGTACTGAAAGTTTGTATCGCAGCACCTGGCCCAGGGTCAGCCCCTTGTGAGTGGCAATTCTCATTATGGAAACAGGATAAGACCAGTTAGTGGAGGCTGGGCTCTGGCCAGAGGTCAAACATTCATCCAGGCAGGGCAGGGATCTGGAAAACCGCAGCAGGGGTTGGTAAGAGGAAGTCTGGGAATGCAGGTGTATTGAGGTCACCTCACCACAGGCTCATGGCTGATGTCCACACAGGAAGGAAGAAACAAGGACTCAGCCACAGAGATTGAACTTTGGGGGCAGGAAAAATGAGAAAAAGAGAAAACTGAGGGTTTGAGAGGAGAGGAGATACCATGCCAGGACCCAGGCATAGCTGGCCGGGAATGCATGAGACTTCAGATCAAGACTGAATTCATGCTGTTCCACCAGCCGTGCTCCTTACTTCTTTGATTTGGGAGCTGAGCCCACACCTAGAGCCTGCAGGTGGTGGCTGGAGGAATTGGGGTGCTGGGACATTCCAGGCCAAGCTAGTGGCTTATCTGGTGGGTGATATAGTGACAGATATAAACACACGGGGTGGTGAATGGTGATAGGAAACAACCAAGGAAGCTGGAGACCACTTCCCAATTCTAGACCACAAGGCATTTGTCTTTTATTGGAGTCATGGATCAGGTATAAGACTTAGTGGAGGCAGTGGTCTTTGGAAAACCCATGCACGTAGAGTCTTTTTTTAATATACATTTATTTTATTTATTTTATTATTTTTGGCTACATTGGGTCTTTGTTGCTGCGCATGGGCTTTCTCTAGTTGTGGCGAGCAGGGGCTACTCTTCTTTGCGTTGCGCAGGCTTCTCATTGCCGTGGCATCTCTTGTTGCGGAGCACGGGCTCTAGGCACATGGGCTTCAGTAGTTGTAGCACGTGGGCTCAGTAGTTGTGGCTGGCAGGCTCAGTAGTTGTGGCGCACAGGCTTAGTTGCTCCATGGCATGTGGGACCTTCCCGGACCAGGGCACAAACCTGCATTGGCAGGCGGATTCCTAACCAGTGCGCCACCAGGGAAGCCCGCACATAGAGTCTTGATAGTGCAATGTGAGCATCTGGGTCTCTGTAAGTCCTGCCTTCCCCCATGGGGTGTTTCCTGGAGAGGAATACTGACCTCCTCTCTTCCACAGTCATAGTGAGCTCAGAGAGAAAAATTCTAAGATCGTAATGCCTGTTCTGTGAGTTGGCTTCTCTGTGATAACCCAAATCTTGCTCCCTGGGGGTCTGGAGGAAACAACCATAGCCCAGGGGTCTCCCAGGACAGCAAATGGTAGTAAACAAAAACAGAGCAGGAAATAGGATCAGGATGAGATGTATGGCTCCTCTGTTCATTAACTCTTCCAGTGGGAGTAGGGAGAGCAGTAGAGGCCAGGCCTGCAGAACCTGTTAGCCCTGCTGGGCATTTGGTGGACATGGAGTGGGTGAGAGAAGGACAGGGCTTCCTATAGTAAAGGAGGCCTGTGGTTATCAGGCCAAGGAGGTTGGTGACCACCTCAGCACAGTGTGCAGCTTCTCAGCTCACAGCACAGTCTGAGCAGCAAGTCTGACATTCTGATTCTTGACAGAGGGTGGCCAGTGCCCATCGTTGATGTCAATAAATATCATGTCAAGAGCAGGGCAATAGGGAAAACTAGAGGTCTTTCTTCTCAGGACTTACAAGGGCCAAATGCCTGGCACTTTCTACAGAAGGCTAATAGCTGCCTCATTGCCAAGATGAATCAGGGCCTCATTAGTCACAAGCAATGCTTGTTTCCATCACTGTGCACAAGGGGGCCTGGGGGCTGGGTTGCCCATCATGAGATGGTAGCCATGTTTGATGAGGACCTCCTAACTGTTTACAGACTTGAGGGGTGACGGTCAGTGTTTCTAGAAAGATTTGCATGGTTTGGTGCAGTGGTTCTCAAACTTCAGTGCACAGGAGCATAACCTGGGTGTGTCTAAGAAATTCAGATTCCTGGCTGGTTACCATGATGATTCTGATTCAGTCAGTCTGAGGGAGCTCTGGGAGTCTGTGTTTTTAATAAGCTCCACAGGTAATGCTGGTGCAGGTGGGCCATGAATCACAGTGTGAGGAATATGGGTATTGTGGGACGAGTCCTGGACTGGGACTCAGAAGAGCAGAGTTCTGGCCTTTGATTGTCCCCCAGTGTAGTGTGCAACCTTGTGCAAGTCACCTCCCATCTCCGGGCCTGTTTTCTCTGTAGAAAAAGAAGAGAGTCTCAACCCAAGCTGCACAATAGAGTCACAATAGTAACTAATAAGGAGCTTTGACAAAATGCTGGTGCCTGAGCTAGAGTGTCCCAGTCTAGCATGACAGGTCAACACATTGGGGTGACTTCGCCTGTGTATGCATGTTTAAAGAGTTTCCAGATGATTCTAATTACTGCTGGAGTTGAGAACTACTATCTAGGTGATGCCCAGGGCTGATTCTTGTTCTGGAATTCTGAACCTGTTCAACACTGCATTACCTATGCCTCATTTCTTCATTAATTCCTGACATGGAGCAAGAGTTTTCTACATAAACAACTTCCAGATAATTAAAAAGTACTCTGTTAAGCACCAAAACTTTCACCCTTCTTTGATTTCTCTTCTTATACAAACATCAAAATCTTTTTGACGATTTAAAGTTACCACTATGGGACGTCGGTTAGGAATCCGCCTGCCAATGGAGGCGACACGGGTTCGATCCCTGGTCCAGGAAGATCCTACATGCCACGGAGCAGCTAAGCCCGTGCGCCATACCTACTGAACCTGTGCTCTAGAGCCCGTGAGCCACAACTACTGAAGCCTGTGCTCCCTAGGGCCCACGCACTGCAACTACTGAAGCCCGCATGCTCTAGGGCCTGCGTGCCGCAACTACTGAGCCCTCATGCTGCAGCTACTGAAGCCTGTGTGCTGCAACTACTGAAGCTTGTGTGCCTAGAGCCCACACTCTGCAACAAGAGAAGCCACCGCAATGAGAAGCCCGTGCACCGCAACGAAGAGTAGTCCCCGCTCGCCACAACCAGAGAAAGCCCGTGCGCAGCAATGAAGACCCAGCGCGGCCAAAAATAAAGTAAAATGAAAAAAAATAAAATAAAGTTACCACTGTGGTCATTCTTTTGTGATTTATTCAATAAATATGCATTTGGCATCCACTGTGTTAGGGTCTTATGAAAAAATGTTATAGAGTAGTCAAAAGTTGGGTGGACCATGGGCCAGTAATAATAAAAATGATAACTAACATTTAAACATTCATCAAGTGCTTACTCTATGGTAGGCACTGTTCTGAGCACTCTACCTCATTTAATCCTCACAACCATCCTCTGAGGCAGGTACAGTTTATCCCCATCTTACAGATGGGAAAACCAAGTCAGAGAGAGATTCTGTACTTTCTCAAGTTCTCACAGCTGGTTTAGGCAGATCCAAGATTCAGATCAGTCCTCCATCTCTCTGTGTGTTCTGAAATAATGTTGTTCCCCTGCCCCTCAGTCTCTCTGTGTGTTCTGAAACAATGTTGTTCCCCTGCCAGAGCTTCAGTTTCCTCCTGTGCAGAGTGAGTCTGGGCCCCTTTGAACCCTCATACCTTACGAGTCCATGTCCACCCCCAGGTCCCTTAGGAGGTCCCTCACCTGCATCAAGGAGAGCCTGCGTATCTTCGTTGACCTGGGGGAGAGAGACAAGGCTGCCGAGGCCTGGCTTGGGGCTGGGCGACTCCACTACCTCATGCAGGAAGACGAGCTGGTGGAGCTGTACCTGCAGGTAGGCCTCCTGCAGAGCTTATCTGCTGACCTGGGCCATGCGGGGAGGCAGCTGTACCCTCCAAAGTGATCAGCTAGAACTAGGGAGAGGTGATGTCCTCGTCAAGCCCTTGGAGGGACAGTCAACTCTGGGCTGCTCCCTGAACCCAAGATGGAAACCAAGGTGGTCTGGCAGGCTGAATACAAGCAGCAAAGGGCCAGTCCCCGAGTCCCATATGCATGTGTGAGCTCGCAAAGAACATGGTGGGAGACTCGTTCATCTGTCATGTCAGTTTTATCCATTTTTCCAAAACTTGACACACACCTTGACTTCAGGGTTTTGCTGCAGTTTGAGGGAAGGTTGACATGTGTGTGGTATTAACATTATTGTTCTTTTATGATTTTTTAGTTTGCATATCTTTAATATCTGAGATATAACATAGTATAGTGATTAAGTACCTGGGCTTTAAAAAAGATAGGTGTGGAATCAAATCACAGGGCCATTGATTATGAACCGTGTGACTTTGGGCTTGCTCCGTGAGCTCTCTGGGCCTCAGTTTCTTCATGGCTGGACCTGTCTCTAATAAAGATTAGGTATAACATCTGCATAGTAAACATATGCATATAAACATTAACTAAGTGCTTGGGACCTAGTAAATGCTTAATAAATGGTATCTCATCATCATCATTATATGTACAATACTGACACAATGGTATATAAGATTTGCTCCATCAAAAATATGCCTGTTATCTTTTTTTCCTTCCCATTTCTCGTTTTCTCCCCTTTTACTCCCCCTTACTCTATTACTTACAATCGCACAAATTCACTTCCACCGAGACTTAATAATGGTTGTATAGCATTGATTGAAGCCTTACTATGCATGGGAGACTTTGCTAAACGCTTCACGTGCTTGATATAGTTTAATCCTCATTACAAATGCAGCAGGAGTCTCTACTGAAATTCCCATTTTACAGATGACACTCAAGGAGGCTGAGTAATTTGCCTAAAGTGATACAACTAGTAAGTGGTTAAAACTGCACACCAGCAGTGTGACTTAAAGCTTTTACTTGCAGACTCTATTCTGCCTTAGGATTTTAGAGCTGGAAGAATTATCAGAGAGCAGACGATTCAGTCTTGCCTTTCTGTCTCCGGGAGACAAATGTCCAGAGGGAGCTATTGGGGTTGTTCATTGCTTGGTGGCAGAACTCCTGACTCTAGGATTCCATCTCACTGCTTCTATCTTTGTGTAGCAGCATATGCAATAAAAATAACTGAGGGATATTGCCCCAGTAATTCACTGTCCAGAACTGGTCCCAGGCACCCACAACCCTAGACTGCCACCTGACTTGATGTTCTGCAGTTATTCCCACTGAGGTGAATAATTTCTACCTAAGGATATTTGAGGTCCTATGGCTGTGCTGCAGATGTTGTGGTACATTTTCTACTTTCTCATCACATTTTGTTTAGGTGCAAATGTGAAGTAGCTTGTTCAAGATAAAGGGGTCATAGGGGCCAGGAGAAGGGTAATGGGCTGAAAGATACTAGCATTTGTTTGCCACTAACTATTGATGTAAACTTGAAAGCTCCTTATTCTCAGCCTCAGTTTCTCCCTCTAGGAACTGTAGGTGTTGGATGAGATCACTTTTTCCAAATTTCAGTCATTTACACATCAAGTTTATAGTTTTGCCATATCCAGGTACCTCTGTACCATTATTTACTTATTTTTCTTTGACTCAACTTCAAATCAACTTAGCTTTTTACACTAAACAATGCTATCTAAAAGCAGAGGTTTTGAATATGATTAATCTTTTTTTCTGAAACACATTAAAATAAATACTTAACTATTACAAGATGTTTGTGTGCTGCTGAAAACCATTTCTAGGGCCACCAAAGTAATCTCTCATAGCATGGTGGGGAAATGCTGGACTAGTGAATCTTACTAGCCTTATGAGTGTAAAGACAATTTAGGGTTCAGGGAACTTTAGCAGAGGGTTAAGCTAGATGGTCAGGATCTCATTCTTGCCAGTCCTGTGGACATTTGGAAAGTCCTTCTCTCTGCCTTTGACAGCAGTCTCTGTCCCACTCAGGCAGCCATCCAGAAAGCCCTGAAGTCAGAGGAGCCCTCCCTGGCTCTCAGGCTCTACGAGGAAGCAGGTGATGTGTTCTTCAATGGGACCCGCCACAGGCATCGTGCGGTGGAGTATTACCGAGTAAGTTGTGGGCTGCACAGTCAGCAGTATCCCTAGCTAGGTTCTGGCACAAACATGGGCAGGGCCACTTGGACTTCGCCTGGCATCCCCTTCCCCTGTCTTGCTGGTATTTGTCTTCCCTTCCTCATCCAATGCCCACAGGCTCTCCCTGTCTTCAGTCTAGCAGGCTCTCAAAGAAGGAGCTGATAAACTCTGTCATTCTCAGGCTTGATAAATAAAGTATCTTTCCTGACAGAATATATCATAATAATTACAACTTTTGGGTGCATAGTACTTTACAGTTGGTAGCACACTTTTATGTTGACCAGAATGTTTCTATGTACATGGTATGGTGGGAGATGATTGGTCCATGGGTGAGCACTTGCTTTACTATGTTTTCATTAAGTATGCATTAGAATATATTTAAAAAATTAAAGATGTATAATACCAGTTCATCAAACCTATGCTATCACAGATATTATTGCAAAGAATGAGGCAAGAAGTAGAAGACAGTTGATTTAAGAAATAATACTAATTAAATAAATGTCCAGATGTTAAGCAGATATGTGAAGAATCATAATTGTTCATCACTGACTGAAGTTTGGGAAAACTCATTATCTTATTTGATCTTAATATTTCACTTATTCGGATACTTACTCGTTCGCTTGTTCAATTGTTTATTCAGTCATCAAACATTCATCAAGACCCAGTATGTGCCAGGCACTGAGCTAGGGGTGAACAAGAAACATGTCCCTGACTATTGAGGTGCTCTTGGTCATATGCATTTTATAGATGAGAAAACTAAGGCTCAGAGAGATGAAGTGACCTGCCCAAAGTTCTATCATAATAAAAATAATAGAAATGACTATTTACTGGGGACTCTCAGACACTATGCACATACTCCACGTATGTACTTTGTAGATTAGCACTGTGGGCGCTAAGGGAACGTGTAGCTGGCGGGTGAGTAACTTCTCATGTGACCTTGAGGAAAGTCATCATCCCTTTCCTGCTGTCAGTTTCAGGGAGCCTGATGACCTCTAGTTCTTCCACCTCTGAGGTCCGGGCAGAGCAACCAAGAGCAAGGACCAGGAGAGCGAGTTGAGAAAAGCCGTGCATGGAAGGTGCCATCTCCCCCTTGGGTTTAGTCACTGCCATCCCTCAACCCCTGGCAGTAGGATGCAGTATAGCCTCCTAGAGTATGGTATGTGCCAGTGATTCTCAGGTAGACTAAGGTTCCTTGTGCCTCTGTTCTCAGGCTGGGGCTGTTCCCTTAGCAAGGAGGATGAAGGCAGTGAAAACCGAGCTCCGGATTTTCAACAAGCTGACAGAGCTGCAGATCAGCCTGGAAGGCTATGAGAAGGCTTTGGAATTTGCCACCTTGGCGGCCAGACTCAGCACAGTCGCAGGTTGGTGGTCCTAATTGTCCAGGGTATTGAATGGGAGGGGGTAACACTCCCTAAGGAGGGACAACAAAGTTGTAAGCGCATAGGCTCTGGAGTCAGACTCTGTGGGTTCAAATTCCAGGTCGAAGTGTCAGGGAGCCCCCAGTTAAGCAAGCTACTTAACATCTATAAACCTCAAGTTTGTCATTGGCAAATCAGGATTAAAAATGGCACCCACAGCATGCAGTTGTTATGAAGACCGATGATAATACAGGTAAAACCCATAGCACAGTGCTTGGTACATAATAAGTCCTTGATAAGTGTTACCTGTGCACACTAATTATTATATTATAGTTGGTATTATTGGTATTATTCTGAGTCCAGGGTAAATGGTATTTTATCCTATGCACAGGCAATGCCCCATTACAAAAGCACTGTGCCTTAACTTTTTAATTAGTTAATTATTAGTCAAGTACACATTTTCTTATGGAATTGAAATGTAAATGAAGGTCAGATTCCTGTTAACCTAACTCCCTCAGTAGCTGAAATACTTGTATTTACAACAAAAGCTAATGAGAAACAATGTAAGTCATTAAAACAGAAAAAAAAGAGGCAGAATGAAAAAAGATAAACTCATCTTGAATGTTGGTGCTTGAGGAAAAGCAGGTTTTATTAGAGGAGGATTGATTAGATGTAAAGGCAAATGGAGTCTTCTGTGATAATTCTAGAAGGGACCTCTGGGCATTCTCAAGGGCATGAGATGTGGATGGTACTGGACTTTATTGTATTTAATTGCACTTCAGAGCTCTCTCTCTTTTCCTACCTCTCCCTTTACTGCAGAAAACCTTATTTGTGCAACTGTCTGCTAATCTCAGGAAGACCTTGGGGGCCCAGGCAGCTCCCTCTGGAGCATTCTTTGTCCTTCCTTGGACAGAAGCTGAAAGGAGGCTATATCCACCATTTCATGTGATTCCCTGTGACTGGACTTTTCCATATCAGAGGGTTGGATTTTCTCTTTTAGCTTTGGCTTTTGGCTCTTTGAAGCCTAAAAGCGATGTTTTTAGATTGCATCAAATAGCCACCTTGCAAATACTCCAAAAACACAATTGGAAGCATTTGTTCTCTTTAAATGCTACTTTGTGTTAAAGGAGTTACTTATTGAAACAAGAAATCCACCCAAAACCAGAACAAGTCAAAGATCCCTTAGACACCAAGATTCTAAAGCATGAGTTAAAAGTGAATGGATCTCTGTAGCTTATTTGAGACTGAAAGCTGGTGAAGGGTAGGGGGTGACTAGGGGCTGCTGATGACAGCCCCAGAGAAGAACTCGGAAGAGAGAGACTTTCATGTGGAGAAAACATTTGTTATATGAAGTTATTCATTGTCCGAAATTCTTAGCTACTCCATCGAGCTAGTCTTGTCACCATTCCCATCACAGAGATTTGGAAATAATTATTTCCCAGAATTCTGAGTTACAGTGACATCCACAATGAAAAAATGTTCCTCAGGAATTGTCCCAGGAAACCTTGTCCAGAACACATACTCCACTTAGTCACTCTCACAGATCCCTGTGTTTTCTTTTGTAGCACTTATCACAGGTGTAATCTTACCTTTGTGGGATTATTTAAGGAATGTCTGTGTCCTGTGAGATAGTAAGCCTCATGTGGGCAGGACTTCTGCTTTGTTTGCTATGTCCCAAGCTCCGTCCCTGATACCTAGTAGATCTTCAAAGAATTGTACAGAATGAATGAGTGAACTAATGATGCAAAGTGTTGGCTTCAGGATATCTCTCTCAGTCTTCCAATTTCTAGGAGATCAGAGGCAGGAGCTGGTGGCCTTCCACCGTCTGGCGACTGTGTACTATTCCCTGCACATGTACGAGATGGCTGAGGACTGCTACCTGAAGACTCTGTCGCTCTGTCCACCCTGGTTGCAGAGCCCCAAGGAGGCCTTATACTATGCCAAGGTGTATTATCGCCTGGGCCAACTCACCTTCTACCAGCTGAAGGTAAGAGCCAGGCTTCCAAGGTCATCTGAGAGCTACAGTCCAACTATATTCTTTCCTCACCCTGAGCCTTCAGGGTCAAGTTGAGAGGGGTAAGATGGGGAGTGTTGTCTCATAGGGTGGGGAGTGGCTCCTCTGGGAATGCAATGACTCTTTTCACTTAGCCCCCTTGGAGACCTCAAAGAGGCTCCCATCTCTGCTGAGGAGACAGGCCCTAGTTCTTCTCTTTCCTTGCCCTGCTGTGACTTCTGGGCCCACTTCATCTGTCAGGCACTATGGGAACATTGGTCTAGTGCCTGTGAGCTCCTCTAGGACCTATGAAAATATATGAGACCCAAAACAATGCATGAGACCCCCAAACAAAAGAACTATAAGCTCCAAAATTAAAATCAAAATTAATTCTTAACTGTATGTCTAAAAATGTTATAGATTAATTAGTCAATTGCAACTCACTTCTTATAAAGTTGTATAAACTATTTTAGGAGAAATCTAGGTACGTGTTAACATGTTTGAGATAATAACATGCAGGGTCTTAGAATGTAAGTAAGCCTAGGTCCTAAGAAGACCATAGCCCTGACTCTCCTGTTTGCTCTGCTGGAGTTGAATCCAGAACTTATTTTTCCAGCCACTTCTAGAACTGTGTGTGTGGTCTGTAATTCTCAGTTACAATTCTGGCCCTTGAACCTTGTCCCTGGGCACTGGCTGCCCTTACCAGAGGTCTCTGTCTGCTCCAGCACAATGCTTAATCTCTTCATACAGTGGCTTCTGAGTCACTCCTGTGTTTGGCCCCCAGGGGACCCTTAGGGCAGCTCTGTTGTCTTTTTCTTATTTGCCAGAGTGTTTCTGGCCTAAATTTATTATTGACTGATGAGGGTTAACGGGAACCAGTCATCCCTTTTTGAGTCTCACCGGAGGAACCACCTGTTCTGCATCCCAACCATTAGGGAGGGACGATGGGGTAGTGAAGGACTCCCCCACAGTGAGCTTGCCTTTGTCCCACAGCTCCCAGGAAGTGGGACAATGTATGTGTGATCTGATTGCATCAACTGAGGGCTCTAGGGATTTCAAGGGAAAGAGCTCAACTCAAAGTAGCTTAGGCAAAGCAGGAGATTTTATTGGCTCAAGGAACAAGGAAGTTCAGGTATAAGTTTAATTTCAGGTAGTTCTGGATGCTGGTACTCAAATGTCATCATGGATTTCCCCACCTCTCTCTGTATCTCTTGGCTCTGAATGTTTCTGCTTCTCTCTGTTTCTTGGCCTCTTCTCCTCCAGTTATTGACAGGCTCAAGCACCCATCTAAAAGGGTGAGCAACCATTTTCTCTGTTAGATCACACTTAAAAGGTCCCAGAGAGTGACTTGGGACAGGTCAGCTTGAGTCATTTTCACATACCTGAAGCTCTGTGCCCAGGGTGATGCTGCTTCATGATTGTCTGAGCTTGGGTAAGGTGCCATCCCTGTGCCTGAGGAGGAGGGCCGCCAGGGTTAGCACTGTCACAGAACTGCATTGGAGTTGGTAGGAGGAATTCCCCCAAGGAACCAGGAGAAGAGGGTGGGAAAGGATGTCAGGCAGACAAAAGCTAGTGTTCTTAGTTTTTCCTGCACTGCCTCTTAGCCTTTCCTGGAAATGTCTGCTAATGCTATCTCTTCTCTGCCCCCATGCTGGGGGTTAGGATGCCCACGATGCCACTGAATACTTCCGGCTGGCCCTGGCTGCAGCAGTCCTGCTGGGTGACGAGGAGCTGCAGGACATCATTAGGACCAGGCTGGACCACATCTGCCAGAGCCCCCTCTGGCATAGCAGCCCCTCTGGGCGCTCCTCAGAGAGGGCACGGTGGCTGAGTGGCGGGGGCCTGGCCCTCTGAGGACAGCTGTCCCATCTCTGACCAGTTGCATGGTCAGAAGCTACCTCTCTGCTCTAGGCTGTTAATCTGGGGGCGGGGTTCAAGTCATCACCTGGCCCAGCCTCTCATCTCAGAATGGGAAGAGCATAGTCCAGAGGGAGAGGGCTCATTCCAGGTCACACAAGGCATGGACGGTGGAGCAGGGATTAGGGGTCCTGGCTTTGTGTCTAGAACCTATCCAGTAGACTGTGGCCCTTCCACACATACAGACCATGAAATGCACTTTCTAGACACACAGTTCTAGAGAAAATGAGACCCCTGCCCCTAGAAAAGCTGTCTCCTTCCCTCAGGAAAGAAATCAGGCATTGCACTGGAGAGAAGACCAGCCCATTGGACTTTGTTCCCTTCACTGACTTTTCTCAGGGAAAGACCCCTCCCCTTGCCAGCAGAGAAACTAGTCAATTGTTTTTTTTCTCTATTCAACCGAGAGGGGGTGCCACTCCTCCTGTCACGGGGACTGGCAGGAGGGAATTCACCATGCTATTAGCTCAAAAGACACAGCCTCAGAATGGCCAGGTGGAACGCACGGGAGGTGAGGTCTGATGTGGAGGCACCATCTCCATCCTGCCCCAAGGCTCTGCTCCCTCATAACCTCCCATAAACCCAGGAGAAGGCTCCGAAGCGTCAAAGCCTAAAATTGAGCACTAAGGAAGTTATGACGTAAATTACATGTAAATAGTGTATATTATTAAATATTGCTCATTTACATTTATTCACACATTTGTCTCCTTAATAAGAGGGAAGATGAAAACTAGTTATTTTTCCATATTTTATTAATTATCTATGAGTCACTAGGTCCGGCCCACACAGATAGCGAGGGCATTACCAAGGGTGTGGATGCCAGGAGGTGGGGAGAAGCTGCCTACCACAGTATATGAGTCCCTTGATGACGGAATCAGGAATTTGCTAAGGCAGTGAGCTCCAAGTATGGTCCACTGACTGGCTGGGCCAGCAACATCAGCGTCACCTCTGAGATTGTTTGAAATGCGAATTTCAGGCTCCACCTAAGACCCCTGAAGCACAGTCTCTGGGGCCAAGGATCCCTGGCTTTACCCTGTTTTCCAGGTGATTCTAATGCACACTGAAGCACAAGAAGCACTCCTCTGGAACCATGGTTCTCAGAGAATGTGAAAAAGAATCACCTGGGGAACTTGCAGAAAATGAACTTTCTGGTTACCCCAGTAATTCTGATTCAGTAGGCCTGGGAGACACCCCAGGAACATGCATTATTAACGAGCATCTCGAATGACCCTGATGCTGGTGGTTCACTCTTGCTCGGAAATGTGGACACATGTAAGAGCTAGCTATAGGGATCGCCATCTGACCCCCAACAGCTTAGATTTACTGTTAAGACCCTCTGCCTTTACTTTCTATCTCCTTGGAGCAACCAGATGATTGGTGGTGTGGTGGGGTGGGATGGGGGTGGTGAGTTGAGTCAATAGTGCACCTTCTAGTCACCAATGCTGTGTACATACTGGTACATCTTATTTTCTCTTAGGAGCTTGGTTGGTTGGTAGAATGCTCTCTACTCTAGAGTATTCTTCACCAGAAAGGAAATGAAGTACCTTAGCCCACTACCACGTAAGATAGATGTGGTTTTGCTCCCACCACAAACCATAAAATCCCCAAGGGAGGGATGTTGAAGATGAGTCTAACCTCCCATGCAGAGTCCTTTCAACAACATTCCTGGGAGACCGACGGGGCACATGCATGCCAGAATGGTTAACAAATCTCGTGCTTGCAGAAGGCTTGCTTGGCTCTGGGACCCATGCCATGAACTATTCCCCATTTGTCTCAGGTTACAGACCCTCTCCCTTTTCCTGACTGACTTATTACTCTCCTCTGGCCAGATGCCAATTTCTGTCCCTCTGATAGTGTGGTTCCTATAACTGGTATTGGCTGGTGGGTGGAGAGTAAAGAGGGTCATTACCATACTTAATGTGATTTAATGTTTTATTTTTACATTAAGATTTTTCTTCTCCCCATCAGCTACATCTTACCGTTGGCTCACATTGAGCTTATCATTTGAAGTCTCTTCTCACATGAGTTTCTGTTTGGCCAGATATTTCTCAATTTTTACAAGTATACATATATATATGTATATATATATACACACACACGTAAATACATATACATATATACACATAAATCTATACATGTATGTATCTGTACATGTATATCTATACATATATACATATACACACATAAATACCTACACACATATATCTTACATGTATGTATCTATACATGTGTATATATACATAATACACATATATACATAAATACCTACACACATATATCTATACATGTATGTATCTATACACGTATATATATACAAAAGTATATATACACATAAATACCTACACACACATATATCTATACATGTATATATATTTAGGTTAAGGGCATTATATCTACCCATTTTATACTTCATTGGGAAATTTGGTTAGACTTTTCTGATTCTGTGTACTTTTTAAAATTGAATTACAGTTGATTTACAGTGTTGTGTTAATTTCTGCTGGACAGCAAAGTGATTCAGTTACACATACATATTCTTTTAAAACCTCTTTTCCATTATGGTTTATCACAGGATATTGAATACAGTTCCCTGTGCTGCACAGTAGGACCTTGTTGTTTATCCATTCTGTATATAGTGGTTTGCTTCTGCTAACTCCAAACTCTCAATCCACCCCTCTCCGAACCCCTCCCCCTTGGCAACCACAAGTCTGTTCTCTATGTCTGTGAGTCTGTTTCTGTTTTCTAGGTAGGTTCATTTGTGTCATATTTTAGATTCCACATATAAGCGATGATATCATATGGTATTTGTCTTTCTCTGAGTCCATCCATGTTGCTGCAAATGACATTATTTCATTCGTTTTTATGGCTGAGTAGTATTCCATTGTGTATATATACCACATCTTCTTTATCCATTCATCTGTTGCTGCACATTTAAGTTGTTTCCATGTCTTGGCTATTGTGAATAGTGCTGCTATGAACATAGGGGTGCAGGTATCTTTTTGAATTGTAGTTTTGTTTCGATGTATGCCCAAGAATGGGATTGCTGGATCATACGGGAACTCTATTTTTAGTTTTTTAAGGAACCTCCCTACTGTTTTCCATGGTAGCTACACCAACTTACATTCCCACCAACTGTGTAGGAGGGTTCCCTTTTCTCCACACCCTCTCTAGCATTTGTTATTTGTAGACTTTTTAATGATGGCCATTCTGCCTGGTATGAGGTGGTACCTCATTGTAGTTTTGATTTGCATTTCTCTAATAATTAGCTATGATGAGCATCTTTTCACATGCCTCTTGGCACCTGTATGTCTTCTTTGGAGAAATGTCTATTTAGGTCTTCTGCCCATTTTTCGATTGGGTTGGCTGTTTTTTTGTTGTTGAGTTGTATGAGCTATTTGTATATTTTGGAAATTTAGCCCTTGTCAGTCACATCATTTGAAAATACTTTCTCCCAGTCTGTAGGTTGTTTTTTGTTTTCTTTCTCATTGCCTTTGCTGTACAAAAGCTCGTCAGTTTGATTAGGTCCCATTTTGTTTATTTTTGCTTTTATTTCTATTGCCTTGGGAGACTGACTGAGAAAGCATTGGTACGATTTATGTCAGAGAATGTTTTGCCTGTGTTTTCTTCTAGGAGTTTTATGGTGTCATGGCTTATATTTAAGTCTTTAAGGCATTTTGAGTTTATTTTTGTGTGTGCGAAGGTGTGTTCTAACTTCATTGATTTCCACGCAGCTGTCCAACTTTCCCAACACCACTTACTGAAGAGACTGTATTTTTTTCTATTGTATATTCTTGCCTCCTTTGTAAAAGATTAATTGACTGTAGGTGTGTGGGTTTATTTCTGGGCTGTCTATTCTGTTCCGTTGATCCATGTCTGTTTTTGTGCCAGTACCACACTGTTTCGATTACTGTAGCTTTCTAGTATTGCCTGAAGTCTGGGAGGATTATATCTCCTGCTTTTGTTCTTTTTCCTCTGGATTGCTTTGGCAATTCTGGGTCCTTTATGGTTCCATATAAATTTTAGGATCGTTTGTTCTAGTTATGTGAAAAATGTCATGGGTAAACTGATAGGGATCTCATGAAATCTGTAGGTTGCTTTGGGTAGTATGGCCATTTTAACAATATTAATTCTTCCAATCCCAGAGCGTGGGATATCTTTCCATTTCTTTCTGATTCTGTGCACTTTGGTTTACCTGTAAATCTGGTAAATTTGCCCTTAACCAGGTCAGTTATAAAAATGTTCAGCACATTTCCAAAGACAAGGATAAGGCTATTTTTTAAAATGAGAAAAACATTGTATTGTATCATTGAAATGACTACATCCTGTATGCAAATTACTCTGCTGAAATATTCTTTAAAAGTGTCTGAAAATTCCGTTTTAAAAATGTGGTGAGGGCTTCCCTGGTGGCGTTAGTGGTTGAGAGTCCGTCTGCCGATGCAGGGGACTCGGGTTCGTGCCCCGGTCCGGAAGATCCCACATGCCGCGGAGCGGCTGGGCCCGTGAGCCATGGCCGCTGAGCCTGCGCGTCCGGAGCCTGTGCTCCGCAACGGGAGAAGCCACAGCAGTGAGAGGCCTGGCCGCGTACCGCAAAAAAAAAAAAAAAAATGTGGTGAATTGTCCCTCCTGGAATCATGTTGATGCTGTTTTTCTGATCTGCAGAGAGTGAGTGAAGTGTTCGGGCCTGGTTTCTATTTAAACAGGTTTTATTATTCATAGGTGGTAGCCAAAGGTGAATCAGTTACCCTCTTTTATCCTAATCCTCCCCCAAAACTTAGTGGCCTGCCTGGCTTCTGGCTCCTTGCATCTAATCTAAATAAAGAACAAGGAGGGAATTACAACATTGTGCAAAACATGTAACATGTTTTATCAGCTTTCAGTTACATTACTTCCCTATTCAACTGAGCTAATGCTTTGAAATCTAATATTGCTTTTATCCTTTTCTTATTTGCTTTTGCATTATTTAAGATGTCTTTATATTGTGTGTGTGTTTGCTTGTGCTTTGTAAGTAAAATGTAACTTTTTTTTTTGACATCTTTATTGGAGTATAATTGCTTTACAGTGTTGTGTTAGTTTCTGCTGTATAACAAAGTGAATCAGCTATATGTATACATATATCCCCATATCCCCTCCTTCTTGCATCTCCCTCCCACCCTCCTTATCCCACCCCTCTAGGTGGTTGCAAAGCACCGAGCTGATCTCCCTGTGCCATGCAGCTGCTTCCCACTAGCTATCTATTTTACATTTGGTAGTGTATATATGTCAATGGTACTCTCTCACTTCGTCCCAGCTTACCCTTCCCCCTCCCTGTGTCCTCAAGTCCATTCTCTATGTCTGCGTCTTTATTCCTGTCCTTCCCCTAGGTTCATCAGAACCTTTTTTTTTTTTAGATTCCATATATATGTGTTAGCATACAGTATTTGTTTTTCTCTTTCTGACTTACTTCACTCTGTATGACAGACTCTAAGTCTATCCACCTCACTACAAATAACTCAGTTCTGTTTCTTTTTATGGCTGAGTAATATTCCATTGTATATATGTGCCACATCTTCTTTATCCATTCATCTGTCGATGGGCACTTAGGTTGCTTCCATGTCCTGGCTATTGTAAATAGAGCTGCAATGAACATTGTGGTACATGACTCTTTTTGAATTATGGTTTTCTCAGGGTATATGCCCAATAGTGGGATTGCTGGGTCATATGGTAGTTCTATTTTTAGTTTTTTAAGGAACGTCCATACTGTTCTCCATAGTGGCTGTATCAATTTACATTCCCACCAACAGTGCAAGAGGGTTCCCTTTTCTCCACGCCCTCTCCAGCATTTATTGTTTGTAGATTTTTTGATGATGGCCATTCTGACCAATGTGAGGTGATACCTCATTGTAGTTTTGATTTGTATTTCTCTAATGATTAGTGATGTTGAGAATCTTTCATGTGTTTGCTGACAATCTGTATATCTTCTTTGGAGAAATGTCTGTTTAGGTCTTCTGCCCATTTTTGGATTGGGTTGTTTGTTTTTTTGATATTGAGCTGAATGTAACTCTTTTGACAGAAGTTTATCTGGGGAAAGAAGTATATAGGGGTGGACGGTTTCAGAAATGAAGGAAGAAACAGTTCACCACGGGGTGGGAAGACCTGGATCTTGGTCTTGAATTTGACATTAAATTATGATGTGACCCTTGGGCATGTCACTTAACCTCTATAAACTTTAGATCTCTGATCTCTAATATAAAAAGCATGACCTCCTGTAGGTTCCTTTTCAGAAATTTCCAAGCTGGTTATTTCCAAGCCATATGAACAGGAAGAGAGACTTGTATCTGGAAGATGAAATCATGTTTTTATGGCCCAGTTTTTTTCTCTACTCTTTTACAGGTGAGTAAACTGAAAAACAGAAAAGTAATTTTCTCCCTGCCACACAGGTAGTTGTGGCAAAGACAGCAGTACCCTGGGTCCAAGGACTTAGCGGCACAAATGATTCCTTCCGGGCGATTTTCACAGTTTTATGCATGCGTGCATACGTGCACATTTGTGTGCATGTATGTGCACATGCATATGCACACTTGCATTTATCACCATATGTGCCATCTGAACAACCACTTACCAATTGTTTTCTAAATTGATTTGCTTCCTTTACTCAATTTTATAAAGGATGACTGGTCTATGCAGAAGAAAAGCATATTGCTTTCTAAAAAAAGAATTACATAAATAAAAACAAATATAGTGAAAACAAACAATGCACTAAATTCAAGCTAGATCCTGTTGCTTATGGCAAGTGCCCAGCCTAGGCTTGATCTGGCATTATTTGAAAATAAAGAGATTAACATTTGGCAGGGAGTGTTGAAGACAAACTAACACAGTTCTCCTTGAGCAATCAGGGAAACAGAGCAAGCAGTGCAAACGACTGACCTCCTCACAGTGGGAGTCAGTGCTATTCAATGCCATGTCTGGCTGTACACTTCCCATTTCAGGGAAGCTGGGACTCAGTTGTATAAGAGGAAAGGGGCAGATATGAATATGATCCAGGATGGGAAGCACTGTGATGGG